CAATTAGAAATTATTATATTATTATTGCAGGAATTCGCCGTAGAAAAAAAAATTATTGTCGTTGTCTCCAAAGAAAATAGCTTCTACGGAGTGAGCTAGGTAGTACCTATATTGGCCATATTATAAAAGCCACTCACTCGTTCAGGCGTATTTATTTTATCGTCGTCCAGAAAATAGTTACGGTGGTTATATTCTAATAAATTGTATATATAATATTACTCGTATTACGAGTGTGTGTGGGTTGATGGATGGGATGGGTATGAGAGTACAGTATATTATTATAACCACAGCAGTTAATCCTAAACGATGAGCACCAACGGTGTTAGCGTTTACCCTAACGCATAACAAGACGCAATAATAATAATTTTTCCTACATCGTTCRATAATAATAATATTCTAGTCTGTATACAGGGTTAATTGTTTATTCTCTGAACGTGTTCATCACCGCCGTTTTATTATTCGATTAGTGAGCATCTATTTAAGTACAGTTTTTTAGGACTATATAAAAATACGTAAGTACCCGTTTCTTATAAGAACCATAATATTTTTAACTACTATTAGACATAATATCGTATATTCGTATATGCCATTTTTTAAACGAGTAAATCCCCACAATTCCTAAACCTATTATCGAATCTTGCGTACAATTGTATTATATCCTTATAGAATTTACAATTACTTGGAGAGACTTCTCTCATGAATTTCAATTTAAACAATAATATGTTTTACCTATCACCCATACCGAGTGACACGCGCTAAACCTATATATACAATCGCCTTACCTGTTGTACACTAATACGCACAGACCTAATGACTCTCAGAAATTAATTAGATTAGCGCTTTTAGCAGTGGTGAGGTACGATGGTATTATTGGCTTGCTGTTCACCGTTCCTTTCAAAGCACAATGACTTTAGATTTCATGTAACACTGCACAATATTCGGTTTGAGCTAACTTCCTAGAACTCTCAAAGTATGTTTATCCCGACACTCTACCGTTTAAAACTTTAGAACGTCAAATGCGAATGTAATAAAACTCAAGCACGGTTTTTGGTTGGAAATTCTTTTATCAGTTTAAGATCAAACAAAAATAAAACAGGTTACTACGGTCGTCGCTTACTCACGCGTACGACCGACATCGCACTCCCCCCCAATAGTAATATTGTAATATTGTAGTAATATATTATAATATATTGATGACGTTGATGATATTGATTAAAAAATAATATTGATTAGAACAATAGTTGTCACAGCTTTAGCTAGTACACAGCTATTACTCACTTTTTGTAATGGAGATGTGAAGTCTGTATTAATAAATTGCCCATATAGGAATGAGAGATAATTCGATTTTCGATTGCCACTAAGATGCCCTTACGTCCGATCATACCTGTCGTTTAACAAAATACGAAATTTATTTTCTTATTACGAATGCTTACACCTAGTATTAAACACTATTTCCACACAAGAAAGAACAAAATAATCAGTTGTTATATTACTGCAATATATGATATCGGCGTACAATTGTACTTTTAACTCGACAATTCCTTCGTTAAGACCACCATAGTATATTGGCTATAATATCATAAAATTGTTGTGACACATTTTTAAACTAACAATTTATTTCAAATTGTTTGTGGTCTTGTAAAGTACTTGAAAAAAGTATTCAAATACTTGCTCAAAGTATTTTTATTTAAAATCAAATACTTAAATTTTCAAGTAAACTCAATAAGTCAAAAACTTATTCTTTTTATATTCCACCAAATGGTACGGTGTAAATGAACGACCTATAAAATTATCGTACAACCATAAAAATCGGTTCAGTTGATTTGTAAAGTGTAAACAATATTTTATCAATAATTTGAAAGTATCTATAAATACTTTTTTTAAGTTTTTGGATTTTTGTACTTAAATACATTTTTTTTTACTGACTACTTACTGCAGTTGTAGTACTCATGGGGTATTCATAATTAAAAATACGTATTTTTAATAATTTTCAATTGAGTGTCTGTATTTAAATACTTTTCGATATCTTTTACAATACTTTTATGATTGATGTGAATTTGTTGTGTACGTTGTAATTCATATCATATTATATTATTAATTATTATGATTCCTTACTAAATCATAATTGATTCAGACTTGATCTCGTTTGTTATTATAATAAATACACAGTTATTAGGTTATATGTTTATGCCATATTAATATAATGTTATCCCGTCATTACGTTTAATGCGATTTACCTAATATTTATTTGGTACTTTAAAATAAATACTGATAAACATAAAATACATCTACGCACGTATGAGGTATCGGATATAAATATATAACCTGTAAAGTATTAATTTATTTCAATATACTGAATACAATTTTTGTTATTAACTATCAAAATATGATTGATGTACATTTCAATTTCATACAAGCACACCTGAGGTAGTTTCCATATATAGTTGGAATACTTTAAGAGTGCTTAAGTTTAACTTTTTAAATTGTAGTAGTGCACCTCATATTTACGTTTTCTGATAAAAAATATTTATTTATATATACTTGCTAGTATACCACTATACGTCTATACCAAAGCGGTAAACACATACTTATTATTTAATTGTGGAGTTTATTATTTAAATATTTGCTAATGGATTAAATGTTTAACAAATTAATCATATTATAATATAAATGTATTAGTAATTATTAAAGGGTCTAGATTCAAATTTTATTTTATTCTAAATTTCGTTTCTAATTTCATGAAATATGGATATTTTACACTTTAAAACAAAAACMCTTGTAACAAATTATACAATATAAAATTAATTACAACATCTGATTTAAATCTGATAAGTTAATGAAGAATCAAATCTGTATAATATTATTATTTAAGGTCAATCTATAATAATTTATTATAGATAATGTTTATTATTAATAAATATTTTCAATGGACGTGTAATATTCCAATAATCGTTTGCTTGATGATGTCTTTTTGTTACAAGTCTTAACTCCTAATATTATACATATACACTATCCCATCTATTTCTAAATTTCTACCACAGCGGTGCAATTTTGAAGTTAACGATTTCGATCAGTTTTTGTCCAATTACATTCGATATGCAAAATAGGATTGGTCCTAATTATACAATATTATACGCTCGCTGTAGGTTMTTATTTTAAGGATTCTCCATAGCTTCCGTAGACTTAAGATCATAATATATTTATGTCTGAAAAAAAACTTAGCTGGCTTTYGATTTAATTACCTATACTTTTAGTGTTATCTTTATAGACTCCTCAATTTTGTAATAGTTATGAATCATAACTTATGATTTTATGAATGCCAAATTCTAATAATGTATGCAACATATTATAATACAGTTTAATGTACGCGAAGTCTATATCTAATATGAATGTACAATCAATACTTTATATAGCCATATTAATTAGGTACCTATATTGTATAATATACAGAGTGATTCATTAAGCACGCTCACTCCCATTATTTCATTTAAAAACTAATTTATTAAAATTCTGACTTTTGAAATTTTTCTGTACAATATAAGTGATATAAGCTTCTGTTTTTAAGATGAATACTTATTTAGTTTTAGTGAATAATTTTTCTGAAAATTTTGACATATCAAAATCAAAATTCTGTAAAAAGTAGTTTTCGAGTACAATCTGTCTTATATACATGTGTGTATATTTATAATATTATATAAATTACTGCGACAAATATTTTATTAATTAAACCAAAAATTTTCATTGCAGACGATTACAATCGAGTGGTTTTGGACCAATTGCAAAACGTACCGGATTCGGATTACATCAACGCGTCATACGTAGACGTGAGTATAAACTAAACAATCATTATCGTTATAAACTATATTTATATTATGTTAAATATATCATAACAATAACACTAACAAGAGTAAATTTACCGTGGGGAACAAAAATATATTGTAATAGTATAAGTTCAGGGAATATTTGTAATTTTTGGAGCGTTTAAATATTTTATTACACTACTGCAGTGTAACAATGTTATGTGTTTAAGTACGGTCGTATCGGCCAGGTTGGTATCTAAATACTTATAGTTTCATATCAACGGTGTTGAAAATTAAATCCGTGAAATTCATCGACACACGAAGGAATTGRCGTACCTATAGCATGTTATAATGTATTGCCACTTGTCTTGTTGTTCGGCTAATTTAATTAATCTGCGATGCAGGGTTCGGGTTTTAATCTTTTCGGATTTCAATCGTCTCATTAAAAAACAAATAAATAAAATAAAAACCGCTTTGGTCTGTAACTTTTCGTCGGAGAAATTTAAATAAGCGTACCTATATAATCCGAGTAATCATATATACATATATTGATATATCATATAGGTACGATACACCGCGTGTTTACTTATGTACTTGAAAAACGAAACGTTTCTAATTTTTTCGCTGAACTAACAATATTTTACTTTCATCAAAACCTATTGAATAASCTCAATCTAAGCAGCAGCAAACTTCAAATTCCTCGGATTTTAATTATCAATCGTTAAACTTCATCTCGACCGATTTTATAGTCGCATTAAAACGTATATAAGCTTATATGCATCACAAAGGCTGGACTAATATCTGCTTATGTTGTTGGGTTATACGAGTTAATGTTAAGTTGAAAATTGCAAATTATTATTTTTTTTTTTTACCTTAACTGGTTAATACTGGATTTTCGATTTAACTACTAAATTAACTTAATTGTTTTTAATCAACACAAAATATACGAATTAAAATTTCAATTTAATAAATCATGTTAATTTATTTTATTTAAAATTTAATTTTAGGTGCACCCTCAGATATTTAACTATCGGTGGGTAATAGTGTTATTTTTCCTTATAAATATTTATAGTTTTATCACAGACTCTCCCCCTCCTCTATTGATTTACCCTAATTACGCCTATAACTGCTACAACAAAATAACCTATAGGTACTAATCCTATATTAGTATATTACCATTTACTACTCAGAGAGCTTAATACTAGTTATATCACTTTGTACGTACGTATTATTTTCTTGGCCTAGTTTTTTTGAATTATTTCTATAATATTTATCTATTGTGACATACTTGTACCTACCCTAACCTAGTATATTTTTAAATTCTAATATTAAATATTATTTATATAATCAATTTGACAATATTTTCAAATACTTGTATTCAACATTTATCTCAGTATTACATAACATGTAAGTACTAGACTACAGACAATACATAAAATGATTAAAATGATAGTCAAAGTAGGTAATAATTTATTTATTTATTAGAATATTATAGATTAAAAGACCAGTTAGAACACACGAGTATATTTTAGAGTAGGTAATAGGTATACTTAAATCGACTAATGCATAGTTATTATTATGGTAAAAATACTATTTTTTATTTATTTTCATATAGCGAACTGTTTTAGAAACTTTAGTTTATTCTCAAAAACAACTTTTGTAATAATTTGTACATGACCTCACCACGCCTATAACTCAAAAAAGTGGTAGTAAAATCAAAAGATAATATACCTATTCAATTTCATGATCATTAAATCCACTATCATTTATTATCTAGGAAATACCGATAAATAACATAATACTTATAAGTCAATTACGGAATTATATATAGCCCGATTTACCTGCAACAATAGATGGTATACTCCGGCATTACTGACATTGCCCAATCATTACACCTACATTTACGGTAACAAAATACACCTATATTACTTTTTAATATAACTCGGAATTTACTGCTTTATAAAAAAAATTCCTTTTATAACAGTGTTTACTGCAGTATATTATATGGAGACTCCCGTTATATAGTTGCAGGTATATACGGTATTTTATTTATGTTGAGGTTAAACATATATAACACCCAATACATAAGAAGTATATAGTGTTCATTTGATGCTTCCGTTTCGAAATTTAATAACACTGCGCAATGACCTAGTCCGCAAGCGGTTATAGGTTAAAAAATAACTGCTACAAATGTACTATACCAGCCCGACATAACCATTGCAGGCGTATTATTATTTTCAATCTCGCGCCCGGAAAACAATCCGACGACAACGACGATCGATGTTCCGTCGGAAATAATGGGTATGTGCTCAGTGAATTCGCAACTATATTTTCATTATTTTTTTTTTCGAAAAACGACCTCGCCTGAGTAGGCGTATACAACGTCCGGGCGTTCAGATTTTCCGCTGTCTATGATAACACGCTTTTTGATAGAAAAAAGATGAGTATCTGGCCAACCCTCCCTCCGCACTATTTAACCGGGTAAAGCAACGATGGTGTAGAGTTTATTATAACAATATTATTTTCTGGTATGCTCGGAGTCAGTGTCAAGTCAAATATAACAAATTCGCCACTTTGATTTTTTTTTTTTTGATTCCATTATGAATAGGTTTCAATACGCGTTTTCCGATCATTCTTCACCGTTAAAAATAATTATATTTATATTATTATTATTATTAAAACTATTTAACTTTATCACGTATAACTTGTAAAAACATCATCGAATCCAAATAGTTGAAAAATGTAACTCGATCAAAACTTTGCCACAATGTGGGTTCTCAATCTTTTTTATACCACTCATGTATATGTATTACGGACCAGTCGTGTATCACTAAAGACTTAAGATAGTTATTCCTTTATTCCTTGGGTATTGTCGGCCACTAGGACCATCCCGTCAAACAACCAATCCTCCAGGTCTCTCTGTCCGCTGCTTTTGTTTTCCAATCTGGGCCACCGTTCAGCGATTCTACGGCTCTCTTTACTAAATCTTCCCATCTTAAACGGGGTCGTCCAAAAGGGCCTTTTCCCTTTTAGGTTCTCTGTCAATATGTTTTGCTTCTGAAAGAGTTCTTCTAGTTCTTTGTTTTTCCTTATTCTCCATCCCTCTGTTTCCTCTTCTTTTACTGGGCCAAAGATCTTTCTTAAGATTTTCCTCTCTAGAATAATCAGTTTGTTTTCCTCCGTTTTTCTTAATGTCCATGTTTCTGCTCCGTATGTAATTATGGRACGTAAAAGTGTAATATATAATTGTAACTTTATATCTCTCGACAGGGATCGTAACCCTAGTATCCTTGTAAGACCGTAAAGATATATGTTTCCCAATTKGATTCTTGCTGCTACTTCTTTATCAGTTTCATTTTTTTCGGTCAAAACAGAACCTAAATATTTAAATAGTTTGACTCGATTGAATTCATGGTTGCCAACTCTTAAGTAAGGATACATTCTGGTACTATCTCTTCTCCCCACCACCGTGTATTGTGTTTTGTCTTCGTTTATTTGTTAGCCAACCTTCTTAGCTGTCTCCTCCAAACGGCCGCATAATGATCTTAATCCATCATGTGATTTATCCATGAGGACCAAATCGTCTGCATAAGTCAATAAYGCCACGGAGGAGCCTTGTAGTGACATCCCCTCCTGGGCTCCAATATTAGTTTCCCTGATAACCTTTTCTAATACCAGATTAAAGAGAACAGGTGACATTGAGTCCCCCTGTCTTAGGCCTGAATTCACACTTATTGGGTCGGTTTCYGCTTCTTCTACTCTTATTTTAATGAACGTTTCCATAATACATGATTCGATTAACTTAACTAATTTTTGTGGGAAGTTATACTCTCTAAGAATATTTATCAAGCTTTTGCGATGAATACTATAGTATGCCTTCTTGAAGTCGATAAAGAGCACGTGCATTTCCTTGTCAAATTCCCAGGTCTTTTGGAAAAGTTGTCGGAGAATAAATATTTGGTCTACCGTAGATCTTCTTGGCCTAAAGCCTCCTTGATAATCTCCAATGATTTGCTCCGATTTTGTTCTTAACCTTGACAARGTACAGTTCGTGAAAACTTWATACGCAACACTTAGAAGGGCAATTCCGCGATAATTATTGCAATTTTGTTCATCCCCTTTCTTATTAATTGGGAATACTAAGGCTATTTTCCAATCTTCCGKAACCTTTTCGGATAACCATATTCGGTGGATCAATTTCCACAGCCTGAACGTCATTTCTTCTCCTTTTTTGAGAAGTTCTGCATGAATTTGATCCTCGCCAGGTAACTTATGATTTTTCAAGATGTTAATTTGGGATTTTATCTCGTCCAATGAAGATTCTGGGCATTCTTGTTCTTCTCCAGTTTCTAAGTTAAGGCTAAAGACTTCATCGGGTGCTTCACAGTTAAAGAGAGTATCAAAATATTCTCCCCACTTTTTGGATAATTCTTCATTCGTGGTTATCAATGCCCCATTGTCATATTTTAGGAATCTTTCTTTCTTCTTGTATCCACCAGTAAGATAATTTATGCGTTTGTACATATCTCTAGCCCTGTGTGCTTTGTAGTCTAGTTYAGAATTATCCATTATATTTCGAACATATTTCCGCTTTTCACCTCTTAGGATGTTACTTGTTTCCCTTAGACGAGTTTTGTACCTTGCGAACAGTTCTTCGTTTCTCGTATCGTTTAGCCAATTTTGTCTTGCAACCTTTCTTCTCTGCAGCGCTTCTTCGCAAATCCTGTTGAACCAGGGTTTAGGTTTTGGCTTTTTTGTTCTTAAAGTCTTGTTAGCTACATTGCTTAAAACATCTCTAATTTCTTCCCAACCCTCATCAATATTTCCTTCGGATATTATTTGCCTTWCTTTGTAAAGCGTTCTGTTTAAAAAAAGTTTGCCTATATCATGATTTTCTAATTTATCTATGTCAAGCCTTTTTGAGTTGGATGGATTTTTTTTACCAAGTTTTTTGAGTTTCACTTTTATCCATATGCCTTATAGTAAGTGATCATAAACCAATGTCTGCTCCACGCAATGTTCTT